GATATCGTCCTCTTTTGGAAGGTCAAACAAAGTAGTTTCGCTTTCACAACGAAGCACACAGCGTCTCCACGACATGGCGGCAGTTTCAACAATACTACAGTGAGAATAAACGTTACGCCTTCTTTCTTTGCGTGAACGTTTGGGCGGCGTTATGCAAATCTTCTCACATCGTGACGTATATGTTGGGGGCGTGTTAGAACGAGCCGTTTTAGGTAGGTGTGGTTAACTCTTAACTTTTATAAAGAATATCTCTTTGGTTTTGAGACTTTAGTGTTTGCAACTTTACAGATCTTCTTTATGCACCAAGAGCTTGTAACACTCCAAAGAGAAAGGAAAAATTGAAATCGCATCATATGACCCCTTTAACATACTTGTTTATCTGAAAAACAATGCTACAGTCAGTTATTCTCCTTTGAAAATGTGCGTTCTGGGCCGGAATGACGGTCTCTGTTTTGGTTTGTGAAACCGGCCCACTGCAAGTTTACCCAATTGTATTTCGGCACCCCGGGTTGCCATTTTGCGGAAAACACAGCGTATTTCATTTCATTCATCGTCAAGTGCGCTCGTTCCTGTTGGTGTCGTCAATCTGGCAACCTGCGTGTGCCTCAAGTCTGAGGAGGAGGGGCCGGGTGAAAAAAAACCCTCTCCAATATTTTGAATTTGGACTGCAATACCAAGTTCAACCACTCGGTGTCAATCCTACATACAGCACCTTTAAATAAAATGCTGTCTAGTCCTTTAAACCCCACTGTACATTTTTATTTCAGTGTTTTTAGTTATTTTATAAAATAAAATTAAAGAAATGTATTTATTTTTATTTACTTAAAAATAATTAATAAACTTGTATGCATTTTAACTGCTTTGGATGGTTGAACAAAGGTGAACAAAGCAAGACATAGCGATAGGACAAAAACTACAGGAAATACTGCTTGCCTCAGTAGATTTAATAATAAAAGGTCAATGCAGGAATTTCAGAACAAGTCAACACGTTTGCTTTTGAAATAAGTGACAAATTGTGCTCAATTTAAAAAGTTAAAGTGCAAAACAGCTGCATTTACAACAAATGATTATAGTTAGATGGCACACAGAAGGCATTTAGAATCTTGATGACAATCAAAGAAGAAGCTAAAAAAAGCAACTTCTGGTCCAGTGACCAAGTATAGGTGTACACTTAATAAAGCCAAATGATTAATTGTTAGTTTCGTGCAATTCAGGCAAGGTCAACAGAGATACGACAGGGATCTCCGGAATGAAAATACATATACCTTTTATGTTTTTTCCTATTTTTTTCTTCGTCAAACCTTAGAGGAAAGGCAGGAAGAAGGGTTAGGGCATAGAGAGTTTCTGAAGATACCACAGCCAACAGCAGCTAGTACTTGGGAGCAGATCAGACTTTCAGTCAAATAATTACAAAGCTGGAATACTGCTGAGAGACGAGAACAGTATAGAAACTTCAGTACGGAAGGTAATCATTTAGCATAGCTTGTCGAAACAGTTCCAGAGTAATGAACGTACAGTAGAAACTGATCATTTCCTGCTTAAAAAAATAGGAAGCAGTAGGGCATATTAAAGGGATACTTACTGTTTAATGCAGTCTGGTATGGAAACGTACTCCATCGGGACAAGCTCAGCCAGGTCTGTCAGGCTGAACACATACTTGATTTTCTGGCTAAATTTTGAGCTGTAATTGGAAAAGTTACATTGAATAATGCATTCATAAGGTCATTGCAGGACATCAGTTCATATTAAAATATATCTGAAGTTAACTAGAAAAGGACTGACCTTATAAAAGGTTTTGTGAGGGCCAGGAGGGTGCGAATAAACCAGGACGGGTGCACTATTATCAAAGACTTCAAATTTTTCCTTAACCTGTATCAGAACAATGTGGTGCAAACATAAATTTAGACTTTTTTTTACTGAAAATAAATATTCCTATTAATACTATTTATTTGGAAAATTGTATTCATTTTTAAAAATATAAAAAAATTGATTTATATTAAGCATTTTTATTTACATTTATTATCATTATTATTAAATGTTTTCCCTACGTTATAGATAGTTTAACAGCTGTTGGCTTGAAATAGCCTTTCTGTGTTATTTGGGGTTGTAACAAAATTAAGTTGAAGATAAAAACAGAATGAGCAATTTAAAGGGACAGTTCACCCACAAATGAACTGTGTTAGTAAATACTGGCAATGAGATTCTCACCTTCGATCTATCTGCTGATAGCATTTTCTGAGCCAGCCCACACTGGGCATCTTTCGGCGTGAAGTGGCTCCGTTCAGGTATACAATCATATAGTTCTCAGCTACAAGAAGCTCTAGAGTTCCTATGACATACCTGAATGACACACAAAATGTTAGTTGCAAAACCACCTAAGATTTGAGGCATCAGGTGAAGACTTGTCCTAACAAACTTAAGGTGTGGCCACATTAGTGAAGTTTGGACAAAATTTGGGGCAAAAAATTCCCTTGTCTATAGTCAATAGTGCAGTAGCTTTCAAACCAAGCAGCTTTCTGTTGGCATGGAATCCACGTAACCCGTTGCCAAATCTGTGTGAGGAAATCTTTCGCTTCACACAAAATTCCACATTCTTGTCGAAATGACTGGATTTCACCCAAGAAAATAAATCACCAAACAATGGTAAATAGTAAGGACATCGGTAAAATAGTCCATGTGACATCAGTGGCTCAACTTCAATTTTTCGAAGCTACGAGAAAACGTTTTGTGCGCAAAGTGGTGCGCAAAATGGTGGAAGACTGTAACTCAGGAGAGAAGAATTGTTGAAAGAAATCTTTTTTTTTTCTTTGCACACAAAAAGTATTCTTGTAACTTCACAAGTTGAGCCACTGATGTCACATGGACTGTTTTACCAATGTCCTTACTACGTTTCTGGACCTGGGAACATTACAGTTGCGTTGCTG